TTCAGCTCCTCCACACTCAGGTTAGATTCACGAGATTCAAAATCTCAAAAGCCCTCTTTTTCCCTTTCCAGATTTTTCATCTATGTAAATTCTTAAATCATCTCTTGTAATAAAAACCTTAACCTGAACCAGAATTACTACAAAGAGTCAGATTATAGATAAATGATTACGATAGCATTAACAGGAGTCAGAAGTGCTTCTTACAATTTTAAGAACTCTCCACTATATAGCTGTGTATGACTGATAAGATGTATCATTTGAAGGAGGGTGCCAATATTATATATATATTATAACTTTAAATTTAAACAGTGTATTTCTAAAATAAGTGTTCTGTTTTGGAACTGGGCAATATTTTTCATTGTTCAACAGAACACCAGCTTGATCAACACCAAGAAGAAGCTGGAAACAGACATTGCCCAAATTCAGGGTGAAATGGAGGAGACAATCCAGGAAGCTCGCAATGCCGAAGAGAAGGCCAAAAAGGCCATCACAGATGTGAGTTGGGGATTCCTTTCATTGCTGACTGTGGATGAATTCTCCCCCAAAATGTCTCCAGCCCCAAAATGGCTTTGACCTTTTGCTCTTATCAGGCAGCCATGATGGCAGAAGAGCTGAAGAAGGAGCAGGACACCAGTGCCCACCTGGAGAGGATGAAGAAGAACCTGGACCAGACAGTGAAGGACCTCCAGCTTCGTCTAGATGAGGCTGAACAGTTGGCTTTGAAGGGAGGCAAGAAACAAATCCAGAAGCTGGAGGCCAGAGTGCGTAGGGCTGTTTCTCGTGCATAAGTGAACATGTCCTTTGGAGAGATACCCAAGGAAGTTCCAAAGACGAGCTTCTCATTGCAGGTGCGGGAGCTGGAAGGGGAGGTTGATGCTGAGCAGAAGCGCAGTGCTGAAGCCGTGAAGTGTGTGCGCAAGTACGAGAGGAGGGTGAAGGAGCTGACCTACCAGGTAAGGCAGAAGGCCTCTTTGGACTGACAGAGTTTTCTCATAGCAAGTCAAATTTTGCGCACACATTCCCCAAGAGGAATTGCTAACCTCACATGCTGCAGAACCAATAACTCATTCTCTTTCTTGCTTATCAACCACTCTAGTCTGAGGAAGACAGGAAGAATATTCTCAGGCTGCAGGATCTGGTGGACAAGCTGCAAATGAAGGTGAAATCCTACAAAAGACAAGCTGAGGAGGCTGTAAGTATTGCTTGGAGAACGGGCAAGAGCCGCCTTCCATTGGGGCAGCATGCTCATTGTCATGAGTATGAATACCAGAAAAGGGGCATGGAGGAAACTCCTGAGACACAACAGTCTTGGCCATGTCATTTTACTATCGTGTCATGAGGCCTTGGTGAGTTCTGGGGGCCACACAGTCAGGGATGAACCAAGGGAAGTTTTGCAGCCTGTTTTCTACAGGAGGTCAGAATAAGAAACCCAGGGCACGTATCCACTGACTAAGAAGTTCATGAGTCTCTGCTAGTAATCAACAGCAGAAGGCTTCAAAGTCTTTCTCAACGTAGTAAGTCATATCGATAGTAGGGCAGCAAGTGGTGGGAGAATAAGTACACAGATGACGAATCCAGGAGATGAAATTACTCCTCAAGCATGACACAGTTCTGGTGAAGTTTTTCACAGTGGGGTCCTGAATAAGGAAGGATGAGGAGGTCTGTGCAAGGCTTATGTGTAAGCAGTGGTGGGTTGGGAATGGAGATTTGTGCCTTCCCCCAGAGAAGAGCTACAGCCCCTCAAGGCCAAGGTGCAGGAGTGCAACCCCTTCCCTGGGCTCCTCACCACCAGCTCCCTCTTCCCACACAGGAGGAGCTCTCCAATGTCAACCTCTCCAAGTTCCGCAAGATCCAGCACGAGCTGGAGGAAGCTGAGGAGCGAGCTGACATTGCAGAGTCGCAGGTCAACAAGCTCCGAGCAAAAAGCCGGGAGTTTCAGAGCAAGAAGATAGGCGAGGAAGAGTAAGGATGTCATGAGGCCTCATGTGACCTGAGGGATGCACAAAATGTGAACCCTCTTGCTGCTTTCTTCTGCAATGAGTCTTTGTAACTGTGTCAATGTCTAGAGAATAAAGACTGTAGATTCCTTTGCATACACAGCAGAAGCAGTGCTTTTGGTTGTCACCATTCAATTCTGCAGTTTGAGGCATTTTCAAATTAAGAATTTTATTTCACTTTAACCCTTGGATAGCAGTAGGGCTTTAATTATCCCATCTCCAGAATTTCTCCACTGTGTCCTATTACATTACTGGGTAGGGAATAACACTAATTTAGTTCTTATACTGGCAAGAGGAGAGGATCAGGACAAAGGCAGGACAAGTACTTTGTCTCTACCGGCACAGTAAAAATGTTTCTGCCTTGGGGAGTCCTCTTTCAAAACAAGTGCAGTACTACAGAGGCTCTCTTTGCTGGTATCATTCTCACTTTGGCAAGTTGGATTTAGACACAAGTTGCCCCATAATAAAAAAAACTGGAGCCCCAAAGGCATCTGGATGTCTCTGTGTCCTCATGAATGAACTTATGAAAGGGCTAAGCTGTCTTCTTTGAACAAGGCAGGTGAAGGCCACAAACTTGAGAGTGTCTTTTTATTAAGCAAAATTAAAAATCAGGCAGAGTTTTTTTTATGGAAGAGGTTACTATGGTCTAAAGCAAAACAATCTCTTTGGATAAGAAGACACTGCAGTTCCTTACTTTCTCTGTCAGACAGAATAGCCAATATTAAGGCAGAATGCTCCTGTTGTAAGTGAAATGGACATGATGAACAGATTGGTAGAAGTAGAGTGTGAACAAGATGAATCACTATGGGATAAACTCCAACCAATATAACATGTAGGGCCACCAGAACAAGCTAGGAACTGCTGCAGTACTGTATAGTGTTTTCCACTACTGAAATATTAATGTAACACTATCATAGGCTTTTGTGCCAAGGAAGAATGTGGACTTATGTAAAAATACAAAAATCTGAAGGAACTAGTTTTGGTCATGTAAGATAAGACTTAAAGTGAGAACATTTCAGGGAACATTTCAGCTTTAAAGAAATCACAAAATCTAGCACTTTGCAGGAGAAAACAACATAGATGATTATGTCAAACTGTGCCCTACCTGTCTGACTTTTGCAGCAATGAGTCAGTTGGAATGTAGATACTAATGGCATCCTGGCTGGACAGAGAAGAAACAAGTCATCTACACAATGTATGCTCGTCCAAAGTTTTAAACAAATGACAGCCTATTTCCTGCAAGGCAAGAAGCAATACCTGAAATGCAGGACAGCCATTCTGGCCGCACTAGACC